GATTGACAACATTTCTAAAAGAATTTGGTAATGTCACATCTTTGACTACATTGGAATTAAGTTGGTACTCAAACTTGATAACATTGCCAAAAGAATTGGACAACCTTACATCTTTGAGTATATTGGAGTTGACTAGATGCTCAAGCTTGACAACATTGCTAACAAAATTGGATAATCTCACATTAACTACATTGGATATAAAAGAGTACTCAAGTTTAAAAATATTGCCAAAAAAAATTAAGTCACTTCATATTATTTTTGTATATAGAAGGTAGATTACAACCATTAGATTGGAATTCAAAAATATTTCATGTATTTTAAAAAAATGGCAAGTCATTCTTTCATATCTCTTATATTGAAAAAATCCAATAATATAGAAGAAGAGTTAGAAGGTAATTCTATTGATTGAAAACAGTGTTGCTTGATCTATAATCATTTTTCATCCATCTATTTGATACAACCTCAACCAATAAGGTAGAGAATTTCCTGCCCCTTCTTTTAAACATTGTAAGTTACTATTAATTCAAATAGAAAATACTCTTAATTTTTATAGTGCAATTTTTTCTCTAAGTCAACATACTACAATTGATAATATTACATTGCTTGAAGACTTTTATTTATAAATAGAATGTTAAACTTAATGAAGTTTGGAGAAGGCCAAATAAGCTTTACTTCCTCTCACAAATTTTGCCATTCACTATAGACCAATCACCAAATTTAATACTTGTCCAATTGATATGTGTCCTAATTTGATGCATGTCACTTTATCACCTCAACAAGATAAGCATAGAGTCACCTCTTTCATTGCTCAACCAAAAAATTTTCAATTCAACTATATTAAATATCAATAGATGAATGAAAGGTAATAGACAAAAGAAAAAAGTTACATCATATCAAGTGTCATGACTATCATACCATGTTGTACAACATTCACACATTAAAGTCTTAATATAATATATCTACAAATCTTATCATTATTGATATCAAAAATATTGATGCATATATATATATATATATATATATATATATATATATATATATATATTACTTCTTTTTTCTAAATTCACAAAGTTCTATGAAGCCATTAACGAGAGTTCATAAAAAATACAAAGTTTCAACTTGATATTGCCTTTTTAATATAAATAATATACTAACTTCTAAGCTATTTTCCATATGCTAATTCTAAAACATGAATTTGGTGTTTTCTATCAAATTTACTTATTTCCAAATCTAGTTTGATATCTAGGATCATAAATGGTTGTCTTTAGAAGCATTTGATTTGATGGTTTGAAAATCATCTAAGTTATTTGATAATCTTAATCACAGATCTTATTTCTTTGTCTTTGGAGAAACTTAAACTTTGTAGGTATCTTTATCTTGACTAGTATATGGATTTCTATTTGTAATATTCCACTAATACTTTATTACATTAATATTATAAGAAGAATTATAAGATCATTATTGAAAGATGGAATAGGAATTTTTTTTTCTTTATTTATTTTATGTTGAAACAATACTCAACCTTGTTTCAATTTGGTCTATATGTTGGCATTTGTAGATCAAAGAATTAAGAAGCAACCTTTGCAACTTCTTCAATTAGATTTTTTATAAGCTACTATATTTTTGTCATTTAATATATAAAGTTGGTCGTTGTCTTGATTATGCAATTCATTATTATGGACTCTTATTGGCTGATAGTTTGATCCCAAAATATTATCTTATTGATTAATTTTAGATGAATTATATAAAAATCTTGAATTCCTCTATATGGACTACTTACTTAATTATAAAAGTAACTTGATATTTACTTGGTAATCTGCCTTCTACACTTCTTTCTTTACTTCTCAAATCTCATCTTTAGCCTTTGTAAGACTACCTTAGAGTTCTCTAAATTCTTTTTGGAGTTTCTCAAGTTATGCATCTCATTCTTTTGTAGTGGCTTCTAATTCTTTCACTTGTTTCTTGTTTTTCTTAATCAACTTGAAATTACATTTTAATTCTTAGAAGTTCTCATGAGTGCAAGCTCCTATATTACTATCTCATAGAATTAATTTTAATTGAAAAATATTGTATTTAGAACCCTTTATACATTATGACATATTACCAATGAAGGAATTATAAATAAGCTCTTCAAATCTAACTCTTCTAACTCAAGTGATTGCTTCTCTTAGCTTGCTTACTCTCCTTACTTTGATGAGTCTATTTTCTTTGATTGGTCTTTCTTTCTTGCCTTTTTTTCTAATTTTGATAGAAAAATAACCTCATACCTAGCTCGCTTTAGATATCTTATCACCTCTAAGATTTTTATTGCCTTCGTATTACTATTCTTTTTGGATTGTATATCCTTATCTATTCCCTCTAATTGCTCAATGTCTTGGATTTGCTATGCTATTTCTTTATCAGTTCATTCTTCTTTTTTTTACTTGGATAAACAAATTCTTGATTCCATATATGTGGTATAAGTAAAGAATATAAAGAATAATAAAGTCTTATCTATACAAGCAATGGTCTTAGAATTAAATCAAGAAGTAATTTTGTCTACTTAGATATTTGTGATTTAAAATAAGTCCTCATTAGTTGGTAGTTTAATCTAATCCCACATAAGAATTCATTGAGCTTAAAGTATTTAATAAATTATTTTTATTTATAACTTAAAATTCAACCAAATTTCTAATATCAGCTTTTTAAATTTAATTTAATCAAAATAATAAATAATAAAATTTATCCAAAAAACTCATTCAACTTTAGAAGTTTTTATCCATGAATAAAGTTTTATCTATGAATAAAAGTTCATCCAACCAAAAATACATCTAATCCTAAATTCATTCAATTTAATTTCATCTACATTTAAATTTCATCTATTATTTAATTATATATTTAATACAAAAGTTTATTTTTATTTTTTTATATTTATAAATTAACCACCAAAAATAATTTATAAAGAAAAATATATTTAATTTTAATTATTCCAAAGCATGTATCACTTTCTTAATACAAATTTGAATTGACTATAAATTTATAAAACCATTCAATTATATTTGCTTCCATGGTGTTGTTTATCAATTATTCAATGTAGCATTTGCAATAATTGTGCCACAACATATTTTAAGTAAAGAGTGGCTCAAAAAGAATTGAGATGAATAAGAATAGCAATAAGTTTGGCCAATTAAAATAAAATTGATAATATAGGAAAATTAAGAATAAGATTAGAACTAGAGACACTCCAACAATACTTCTTTTGACAATTTTAGAAGTCATTGGGTTGTAAAAGAGGCTATTGCTAATTCATGGATCAATAGTTTAAATCACAACAGAATAGAATAATGTAAATCCTATAAAGAATTTTTTGAAACCACAAATCAAATGCCTTGATATCTTTTAGAATGTGCAACAAGCCAACTATGGCTAGAATTCAAATAGTGAAGGGGCCTCAAAAAGAAGATCTAAAGAACTCTCTCAAGAACTACAATTACAACTATATGTTGTCAATAATTACTATTTAGCCTTCTATTTGATTTGATATGATAGCTATTCAACTTAAGGTGGTTTGATATGCAATTGGTGAATTGTGGAAGATATAATTATTCATTAGAAGTCTTACAAGAATCTTTTTTGATATTGGTTCTTAGAATTATGGCCAAAGTACTAGTTTGCATAGAGAACTCACTACCAATGTCAATAAGAGGTTGAAGAAGTAGAAATTAAGAAATTGTAGCATACCAGAAGACACAATGTGATCATATTATAGATGCACTAACTAATACTTAGTATTTTGATTTTATGGAGCTTAATGCTATGCATGTTTGTTTTTTGGTATACTAAGTGATAAGTGTAATGCCAATAGTAAAGACAAACTCTTACATGGATTTGTATTGATTATAATTCTCTCCCTTCTAATTCGCATTATTATAGCCAATAAGATTAAATCCACCCGATTGCAAATAGAATAGACCAAGTATTATTTTGCCTTATAGATAGCATAATATATGTTTAATTAAATTCATGTGAGTCTATTGTGGAGCTTGCATGAATTGGTATACCAACTTGACAACATAATTGAGGTTAAGATAAGTATTTGTCAAAGAGACCAATTTCTTGATAATATAGGTGTATTAGATTGGATCTACAAGTAAGATTTGTATTTCTTTGTAAAGCTAGAGATCAATAGATTGAATAATTTTAGAGAGATTGATATTACTTATTCTAAATTTAGTGATAATGCTATAAAAGCATTTGATTTAGTAAAGACAAAGACTATGTGAAGCAGGTTTTACTTTGGTATTTATTCAATTAAGGAATTTTTGTTGAAGGATGACTTAACTATAGAATATTTATGTAGGAAGCGATTAATCTTGTGAAATTATATGTAGAGAGCTTCTTTGAGCCTATACAATGTTTGATCCAGTTTACAAATGAGGTGTATTATGAGCTAAAATGAACCTCCACTAATTGGAAGTTTATTCTACTTTACAATAAGTGAATTAACTATTTAATTCTTAAAAATTATGGCCTTCATTAAAATCTTAATCAATTTGCTTTTGACCTCCTTGAATCATTAAGTATGGAATTAATAATCCATTGCTATTTAGAAAATTATCTTAGTTCACAACAAATAAATTAATTAGATAAGTTTAATAATTTGTAGTTCTTATTCAAGTTTTAATTAAATCACCATTTAGTCTTATTAAACATCTAAGTTATTAAGCAAAACCTTTACCATTCACTCACCTACAATAGCAATTTATTCACAAAATGCATATCAAAGAAATTCTTTATCTTAATTCTTAATTTAATTAATTTTTTTTAATTTTGTTTGCTTATTTATTTATTTTTAATTTTTAATTAACTTTCATCTATCAACAAAAATTCATCCTTAAATGATTATTCATCCACATATAATAATTCATTCAAATATGAGATTTCATTTAAACAATTTTTCATTCAAATCTTAATTACTCATCCAACTTCACCTAAGTTCATGAATTATTCTCCATCCATTCTTGATTGAATATAGTCACAAGTTTATAACTTAATAATTTTAATAACAAGTATAGATTGTCTCAGTATTAATTCTAACTAAGATGTGTACTCATAATCGAATGAGTGAGTAGGGAGCCCTTCTTGATAGGTTTCAGCTTCCCGTATGACCTCAGTTGACTCCAATCAGCTCGATCTCTAGTAGTAGGAGTGTACAGATGTTTGGAGCTGCCACCGTTGAGCTTTTGACAAATTCACAAGAAAACTCCGAGCTAAATAAGAGGACCCTTCCTTTGCATGAAGAAAGAATACTACCACTCTGGATCAGCCGCCGTAGATGGGTGAAGGTCGACGCACCCTAATAACCATGAACGACTTGAAAGTCGATTACTGCACCTCTGTTTCAGCAGCAATTTGCCAACGTCACTGAAATTCATTTCTTATGCAGCTGATCACAACCACTCTACGTCGCAGAAACGCAACAGGTAATGCTGCACCTTTGAACTCCATCCTTGATACACAACACAGGAAGAAGGGAGCAATGCCACATTGTAGTAATTCAACGGAACAAAGGAAAAAAAACATTCCAACCCACATAGAGTGGCTAGCACCACTAGGCTACAATCAATGGGGAGGAAGGATTCTTCAGACGGAACGCAGCAAAACCATAGGAAAAAACACAAGACCCTACTCCCACTTTCCTAAAAACTCGGAGCTCTATACACACTTGAAAAACAAGAAAGAAGAAGGAACGTCAATGAACTTCGGCCTTCCTTCAAAGCCTAACAGTACTCCAGCTTCACCTCCGATAACAATCTGCACATTTAAAAATAAAAAAATAGAAGAGTGGAAATTGCAAAAGAAAACAAAAATTCTGTTGCAGCACAGCTGCACATCAACAAACAAAAATCAAACCACCAAATGTGGCTCAATTTCCTTGCGATGATGTCAACTTCTTGATCACTAGCCTTCGACGATGTAGTGCAACCCAACGCTTAGTACATCGCAGTGGATTTGTTGCCACCTCCATTGTGCCTAACAACTTAAAGTTGCCATACTGCAGTCGGCTCTTCTGGCTTAACAAAAAAGAAAACATAGGCTACACTATAGCATCTAAGCAAAACAAAGGAAAACCAGGAGTTGAGCCGCACCTCCGTTGCATACATTGTAGCAATGACACTCCGGAAGACCTCTCTAATAGTCTGAGTTTTTTTCAACACATCACGGGGAAAAACTCACAGATGAGCCTCCTCTTCGCCGAAGGAAACCTGATCAACCGTAACACAAATCTCCACCATAGCACCGTTGCACTTGGAGAATTTACACATACTCCGCCTAAGTGCGAAGCTCACTAATAACGACAAAAAAATAGAAAAAATAGAAGAAAAATGCTGGGTGATTCTCCACACACCATGTGAAAGCGTCTCGCTCTACTCACAACCGTAGCACCGCCTACACCACCGTCGCATTATACACACGTCCAATCGAGCGCGCGCTTGATTCCGGCAACATGTTGATCTTGAATGTTGATGCTTCCATTGCAGAACACCAAATAGGAGCTCCACCTGATTTTTGGAAGAACCAAGATGTTGCACAGCAGCACATCAACTAAACCAAAATCTCCACAGCAGCACACGCATGTCAAAACAACGCAAGAAAAAAAACCCAGGCCTTGATTGGAGCTAGGATCCACACATGAAAAAAGAAAATTAGAGAAAGAAAGAAGGGGGGATCCGGGCGGCCGGACCCCTATCGATGAATGGATGAAGGGGCTGCCGCCGTTCAGGAGCAACCTCTCGCCTTCTTGATCGCATTTTATATTTATATTTATATTTTTTTCCTTTTCTATTTTTCTTTTCTTTTTTCTTTCTCCTCTCTTTCTCTTCTTCCTTTTCTTTTCTTCTTTTCATTTTTTTGATTTGCTTCTACCTTATCTCTTTTTTTTCTTTTTTTTTCTATTATATATATATATATATATATATATATATATATATCTAAAGTTTCTTTTTTTGTTTGACAATAAAGGCTACTCTTATTGAGCCATCATCTAATGTTAGCTAAAAAAATATATTCATCATAAAAATTTGTCTTAATAAATTTTATCTTACTTTGCATATATGCTATCAATAATTTATTTTTTATTTTTTCTAAAAATTCTACTACTAACTCACAAATTCTATGATTTTAAGTACAATAAGTATAATTTTTGTACTAAATATCCAAATAAATCAATTTAGTGACTCACATATGTTGACTATTTGAAATAATTCAAAAAGGCAAAGAATCTATAACTCTTGATCTATAAATAAGTACATGTTTATATGTAGTCATTACTAGTTTTGATATTTTATAAAGTTTGGAAAGAATAGAGCTAAAGAGCTTCTAAATTATTAATGAAAATATTATAATTAGTATTTATTTCTTGTCTATCTTATTAATTATAATACTCTTCAAATACAAGAACTTATAAGAATCAAAGCTAGTTACTAAACTAAGGTAAGATAATTCTATAAGAGATAGAAAAAAAAAGGAGAATCAAAATGATAGAAAAATAGGAAAGAAACGAAATTAAACTATTAGGAGAAAAAAATCTAAAAGTTACTATGATCTAATTTTTCTCTAAAGAAAAAATAAAGATTAAAAGCTACAGAGGCCTACATATCGTCTAGGTTGCATGAATTGGCCACTTTTTTGTTCTAACAATAGCTCATATGGATAATTGTCTATGTGAAGTAGATTCAAATCCAAATCACCTTGTACATAATTAATATTGTGGCCAACTACCAAGCAACCTGAGAATGCAAAATTATTCCAAATTATCTTTAAATCTCAATTTTTATTTTATTTTTATTTTTTTGAAATTATTATATCTTAATAAGTAGAAGAATTAATATTCTAGTAGAATTAAGAATCATTTATAGAATTTATTTTCTTCTCTAATGAATTATGATCCAAAACTTTTTTACTACTAATTTACAAAAACTATGATTTTAAGCACGATAAGTGCATTTTTTTGTACTAAATACCTCAATGAATCAATTTAGTGACTTACATATGATGACCATCTAACATAAAAGCTAAGGAAGGAAATCAAACCCGGATAAGGTAGGTGCTATAACAAGAATGAAGGCATGTAGGAGCACCACTGAAGTAGGAAGATTTTTGGATGCTCATCTATTTTATCACACATGGATTCTCTATTATGCTCATATTGTGGAGCTTTTGTATCGATCATTAAAAGAAAATAAAATAAAATAAAATAAAATAAAAATTTCATGGAATGAAGAGCAAGGGTTGGCCATAGATGGATTATAGATGGTTTTAAAATCACTACTAGTATCATAAGTTGATTATAGTTGTAGAAGATTGATGATAGTAGCAATTGATATAAGTCTTCTAGCCATTGAATGGACTATTGGGCAAGATGATAAGAAGGAAAACTGATTTGTAATTAAGTTTGGAGCAAGGATTTTCATTGAAAAACAAAAAGCTTATGTACAAGTAAAAAGGAGCTTTGAAGTGTACTTATTATATTGAAGGATGTGGAATTATTTAATAGGTGCTCATGTGGTGTTGGAGATCAATTACTTGCCTATGCTTAAAATGGTTTCTAATTATACTACACCAAATATCACTATTCTTAGACGGATTTCTTTTATTAAGTCTCTAAATCCTATTTTAGTCCACATTGTTGTATTGTAATACAACTACATAGTAAAAATGTAAACAAAAATGATATTATGATTTGTACTCTATCATCTTAGTTCAATAGTAATTCTAGATATTTAAACAAGGCTTTTATGAAAGTCACTTATTTTATTTTCTTCTTTTAATAGCTAGTAGATTAAAGGTTGATTAACAAATTTATCTTCTAGGTTGTAAAAAAATTCTTCTAATATCCTTAGAAAGATTATAAATTAATAAAAATAAAATAGATTAAATAAATATTTAATATAATCAACTCTACAATGAAATTAAGTATAGGATTGTATTAAATAAGTCCTAAAAAAGGTTGGATTGATATCCAAAGAATAACCATTTATAGATTGAGATCAAAATCAAACCTCTAGCCACTAAAATAGCCACTTAAGATAAAATAAGAGGAATTTTGGAGATTAAAGAGTTGAATCAAAGAGCTAGCTTTAAGCTTTTTTTTAAATTATAAAGGTTATTTTCATAGGTTTTGAGATGACTTTGCAATCATTTTTTAAAATCAACATTTGTATTGATGACTTTGAATTTATGCAATAAAATTAAGGTTAGTACTATTAGCTGGTTTATGAGATGTGTATGACATCTATAGTTCAAATTTTGTCAATGCATAGTTAAATAGATGTACTAATTGTGTGTAAATTTTTGTATTACTCTAACAATGAAATTGAAAGATATTTAGTTATTAGTACAAGGAGGTACCAAAAGTTAGCTATTTAAGGTTAGATAGGATTTTGACAATATCTAAAGATCTATTTATTGGAATAAAAAGGAATTTGGTATGATTTTAGAAGATTAATATATCAAGCTATACATCAATTTGGAGTTGAAGTTAATAATTGGAGATGGAGAAATTATTTCTCAATCTTCATCATCAACCTTCAAGTAGGTAGGATTGAAATTTTTTAAGCATATAGAAGACATATATTATTTCATTAGTATAAAATTTTTTTTACCAACTAGACAATTATATTAGAAATTACAACTAATTGAAGTTTATTACTTAATACTAGGATTTAGAAAGAAAATTTGAAGTTAAAAAAAAAAAAAAACAAATAATAAGATAATTAGAATTTGTATTTACATGATGTAATTAAGAAGAGTGTTTTTGAGTATTTTGTATTGGCTTTAAGTCTTTTTTCATTGGAATTCAAATTATTTCCTTCTTAATAGTTGAAACCTATTATGATTTCTTAGATAATTGTATCATATGACTTCATTTTCTACACCTAGATATCCAATGCATTTCTAAACAAGAAGTCACATAATACAATTACGTCATGGGCAAATAGAACTTGGTGGTAAATATGTTGTCTAAGTCTAAGTACTCAAAAGCAAAAAAATGTTTGCCTTTAAGTAACCAATAGTAACTTACTTAAAGTAATATCATTTATAATATAACTTATTCTACTTTCATCTTTATTTACTTACTTTAATACTTTCACTTTGCTATTAGCCAAAGGCTTTCAATCCTAATGCCTTTGTCAACATGTGATATCTATCCTTTACTAATGTCTTTGTCAACAAATCAACAAGCATGTCTTTTGTTGCACAATACTTTATATCAATCACTCCCATTTCAATCTTCTTTCTTATAAAGTAATATTGAATGTCAATGTATTTGATTTTTGAATGATGCTTTGGATTCTTTGCAAATAAAAGACATCTTTAATTATATCATTCCATTGAGGTTTCTTCTATTTGTACTATTGCAATGTCCTCCAAATATTGTCTTAGCCATATTGCCTCCATTGCACCATCGCTTGTTATCATATGCTACGCCTGTATTGTTGATTTTATAATTGTCAATTGTTTTTTTTGTAATTCCATGAAATAACTCATATCTTAATATATATATATATATATATATATATATATATATATATATTTTATTGTTGACTTTTTATCATTTACATCTCCAATCCAATTTACATTACAATAACCATTCAAAGTAATATTATTACCTCTAAGGCATAATTTGAAATACAAATTTCTTTTTAAGTATCTCATGATGCTTTTGGTGGTTGTCCAATGGATTCATCTAGCCTTTGACATGTATTGACTCACAACACTCATTCCATATGCAAGATCTACCTTTGTGCCAACCATTACTTATATAAGTGAGTCTATTGTTGCCTTATATGAAACACCTTGTATTTGACCTTTAACTTTAGCAACTCTTCATCTATGAGCTTCATCAACTTTAAATTGACCTCAAATGGTGTACGTATAGGCTTAAATTCATAATTATTGAATTATTTCAATACCTCTTTAATTTACTTGCTTTAGCTCATTGTAATGGTCTTTTTAGTACAATCTCTCATAAACTCCAATCTTGAAAAATAATAAAGCTCTTTCAAATCACTCATCTCATATTCTTTTTTCAACTTTACTTTTAATCAATCCATTATCTTCAATGTGTTGGTTAAAATGATTAAATCATCAATATAGAGAATGACAATCAATATGAACTCACGTGATTACATCATATACATAAAATGATCAGCTTTACTTCTTTCAAATTCTTCATTTAAGAAGAATGTATCAATATGTTGATACCATGCCCTTTGTGATTGCTTAAGTCTATACAAGAATTTTTCAACTTATAAACAAGGTGTTGGTTTCCTTCTTCAATAAATTCTTGATGTTAATCTTTATAAATGTCTTCTTTTAATCTTATATTTAAAAAAGCCATCTTCACATTTATTTGATGCATTTTCAAATCTATTGTTGCTCCAATTGTTACAATGGTTTTAATAATGTTGAATTTGGCCACAGAAACAAATGTCTCATTGAAATCAATACTAACAACTTATAAATAGCCTTTGACAATTAGTTTAGCCTTGTATTTGATAATATTATCTATTTTTTTCTTCTTGATTTTAAATATCCACTTACAATCAATTGAAGATCAATTTGATGGAAGTTGAGTCATTTTCTATGTCTTGTTATCCATGAGTGATTTGTACATTTTTTCT